TATGAGGGAGCCCATGTGTCATAGTGAAATAGTATCATACTACATTAAGCCTAACGCCTGCTATACCAACTGTAAATACAGAGAAAAGTACTGACTTTGAGTTTCAGTATGCTCATCTTTAAGATGGGAAGATTTACTAATGTTTACTTCACAGATGTACACTTAGAAGTAAAAGAATGACAGACACAAAATACAAAGTATAGTGCCAGGCAGACAGAGATGTTTGAATAAAGGCTATGTTTATCCCTCACCCTGTAAGTAGATTAAACACACCACACCACACACCATACCACACCACACCACTACACACACACACACACACACACACACACACACACACTCACAAACACCCCTTCCAACAGAGCCTATGAATGCTGTAAACCATAATGTTTGTTTTTAGTGTCTCTATATTTCCTCTCAAATATCAAGTATCTTCATGTTCTCTCCAGCTCCCAGTTCTTCAGAAAAGCTGAATAAATCCATTCATAGGAAATGTTTCTAACAGAATAACTAATTCAATAGTTTCTTCTCATAATGCTATAGACACAACTCTACTGTATTCTAGCATTTTAAACTCCTTTGATATTTCTTTGATGATAGCCAATCTGCTTTTTTATGCTGTCATCTGGAAGCATCTAGTATTTTTTCATTTTGTTTGAAGTACTAAAAATATCACCATGTATTATCAATATTCATTACGTGAGGCCACTCAACATGTGTGATCACTTTCCCTGTGAATACACTTGGTAATTAGCCAGAACAAGGATCCCACATTCCCAAGAAAGGCAGAAGCTAGAAATTCACTCATTTTCCAACTTTCGCTTAGCACAGGACTCAGGTTCTACCCATCAGATGCAATCTCAAGAGAATGGAATTCAGAGGTAAGCATAATAGGAATCATCTAGGCCCAGGAGCATCATCTTCTAATAAACGTCATGCACACTCTGCTGAGTTCCTTGTGTGTGATGGCGGCACAGCTCCTGAGCCCAAGAGAATCCTGGATGGTTGGGAGTTATTCCTAGCTGTGTAGAGGAGAGCTCCCAACCCCACTGGTAAGAGTCTATAGGTTACAGAACACTCTTTAAAATATCTTGTTGCTGCACAGACTATCAAGAGTGATTCTTTAGTATACACTAAAAGGTGATCTATACATGAAAACAGTCTAGAAACGAACCTATTTTCATTGATTTTGCCTCCATTATGATGAATGAAGATCTTTATCCCATTTTGGAAATTTTCTCTATCTCTTGATTATTCTTTATCTGCTTTATGCTCTTTTTCAGAAATTTCTGTTCTTATTAACATTTACAAATACACAAGTAAAATTGTATACAGCATATATGCTATATGAAACTACATGCACAAATATATAGTATATAATTACATATGCATATTTATACATACATAAATAAAACTATCATGATATATATGCTTTCCATATAAACAACATATAATTATATTTAAATATATGATTATGAGTATATATAGTATGTAGAACTATATAAACATATATATATATATATATATATACATATATATATATATATATGTTGCAAGTGTAATTACTTATAATTATGCCTGTGAGTTCTGGGAAAATATTTATAGCTTCTATCTAAATTATCAATTTATTAATTGTAAACTACCTATGTTGCTGTTATACATTCAGAGAAACTATTAATCTCTTCATAATCTTTTCCTGACATTATAATATTCCCCTTTCTATTTACCTATTTCTTTGCACAGATATCTTCTGTATCAGCTAAGTTAGGTTACACTTTCATGATAAACACCATCCACATTACACTGAATGAAGACAACGAACTTTACTTCTCACTCATTCAACCTATTCAATGCACATGACAAGGGATGTTTGTCTCTCTTTGGTCACTTCAGGATCTACGTTTCTGTAATTTCTAGTCAGAGAAAGGGAAAAGCACTCAATCTTAGAGCTTTGGCTCAAAAGTGGCACACATCATATTCACACACATCCAGTGATAAATAAGAGGCAAGCAAGACTTCCACTTCAAGGAAGACAGGGAAGTGCAATCCTACTGTGTTTCTCTAAAACAAAGGGCCAAGCAAACTTGATGAATGATGTTAATACTATTTCTACCACAGAGTGTTCTTGTGAAGCATTTTGATAACAGGAATTTAGAGACGTCTAAGAGGCTCTTATGTTTTTATATGTAAACCAAATTCACTGAGACGCTTTATTTTGATATCTCTACTTGTCATTCTTATCTAAACTGCCAAATTGAAGAAAATATTTCAAAACATTGTATTAACTTATTCTAGAGTGAAAGATCTTTGTTCACTTCTGGTAGCTGGAATAGGTTTATTGGAAATTTCTGAAATTTCAAGCCTCTTGAAGGTCCCAATAAGATAAAGAGTTGCCCCTTGATGGCTGGCCTCAGGACTTCAGTTCTTCCAATATAATCTCATACAGATGGAATGACCTTTTTTTCTTTTTGCTACATTTGTAATGAGCAGCTCCCCCCAACCCCCACCCCCAACCTCCATACCTTTTACAGATTCTTTTGGTCATTAAACTGGGAATTTGCAAAGAAAGGGGAAGTTAAAGCTGTATGTTCAAACTTTATGTTAAACTTTCCTAAATTGCTGATTTTGGATAGTAGGTAAACCACTTATCAAGCTAACTAAGTGAGGCACAACCAGGAGACATCCACTCTTCCTCTCACACCCAAATCATCACCAAACCCTGTCGATTTTGTCTCTTAAATGCCTTGCAAAAGAACAGTGTTCTTGAGAAAAAAATTAATATCAAACTTATTTTAGAACTATGTGGCATTCACAGAGGAAAAGTTACATGTAATATTAAATAAGCAATATTTTGATGATTAATCATTTTGACAAAACTACATTCAAGGGGAAACCAATAACCTTTCTTATTCCTTAGGCAAACAGAGCCCTGAATGTTCTCAACTAATATAGAAAGAGACTGGTGTTCAGCTTGACAGCAAGCACTCCAGAAATACTTGAATTTGACAGAGCTGAAAAATGGAAAAGCTAAGTAAAAACATTGATGAAGACTGCCATCCAGTTGAGCTAGAGAAAGTCAGGCTGCTGTGGTCATTCTTGCAGTCAATATAGGAAGGCACCGACTGATTGCAACTTAATGAGGTATGCAGACTGGAGGATGCTGAAGAGGAGGTTCTGAAAATAAATCCTAGACCTCTTCTCATTGCCAACATATAACAAAAAATTTCCACTGGTTTCTAGCACTAAGGCAACTAAGAGAAAAGGAATCATAAATGATGTCTTTAACAAGGCCTTTTTTTGGTAATATAATTATAACGGGTTTCTATTGGTAGACCTTGAATTTCAGATAATCTATAGCAAAATGCCTTGTTGGTAAAAGTATTTGTTATTATCAACATGAATTTGCCTGTGTGTATTCCCATTCTGTGTGAATTTCCCATTCTTGCAAATTGCTTATTGTGACTGAAAGCATATTGTTTTATTCATGAGGAACAAAAAGTTTTTATCTCTGTCATAGTACCTAACCTTGTCACACAAACTGAGGCGTCTTTTAAAAATTATCTTTGCATTGAAGGTTCTTGCAGATTGCTTACACTTTATTTTATAAATATACCAACAGTCAATTGAATCCTGATTTCTCTTTGTAGGTTTTCTTGGGCTCATCACAAAACAAGTACTTTAGGGACGGTAACATGAATGTTGAATGAGGGCATTCAACTAAAATCTCTCTGTATTATTTCTTACAACTACAGGTGAACCTATAATCATCACAAAAGTTAAAAAAAAAAGTCCTACTTTTTTCAAAAGTCCTCATTTTAAAAATATCCAAATGTGAACCAACCTCTCTGTTATTATTCTTTCCTTGTAAGAGTAATCTGCATAATTACAAATCTATCCACGGAAGCCAAGCACAGAGATCACAGTATAGAAGTCATTTAGTGAAGCATTTAGATGGGGATTTAATGAAGTGATACTCAAGTAAGAACATGGGAGAAGTTATATGTACCTATACATACAACTACCATGACAAATAATGCTTTTTAAACAACCATACAAATCATTTGATTAAAAATAGTTTCTTAAAAACATCCTCCTTTAACCTTCAACCTATTTATGGATGAACTGATTTTCTTTACATTCACGAAAAAAACCCTGATAATCTGGCCTTTTATTTGGTTTTTTTTTTTTTTTTTTTTTTTTTTTTTTTTGCTCTCATTATAATTTGCCTTTGTAATAGTCTTCTGAAAACAGAAGCAGTAAAAGTCAAAAACAAGTATTGTTTCTCGACAAAGCAATAGTGCTGATTACAGGGCTATTTTGAGAAGTTCATAGGCTTTAAGGATACTTGTATCTGAGACTCCTCTCCACTATCAAACATTAAAATGGATCCACATGCCACATTCAATATAATTAACATAAAAACACAAATATTGAGATGCAGTTGACTGACATATGTTTTGCTTTGGAGACATTTAATTAGACATGTAGTATATTCAATTTTGCAGTTTTCTTTTTGTATTGTATGACTAGGAATTTTTGGAGGGAAGTGAAAGAAGATGACAGTAATTTTCAGAAAGTCCTAAAAGCCCATATGCCCTACACATGGTGTACATAGACTAGGGGAGTCCAATCTTTTGGCTTCCCTGGGTCACACTGGAAGAAGAATTGTCTTGGGGCCACACATAAAATACACTAACACTAATGATAGTTGATGAACTTAAAAAAATAGAAAGAAAAAGTAAAAAAAAAAAAAAAAACTCATAATAACGTTTTAAGAAAGTTTATGAATTTCAAAGCCATCCTGGGTCACAGGTGGTCCATGGGCCATGGGCTGGATAAGCTTGAATAGCCTATAATGAATACAATACTTCTAATTTTTTACATAGTTAAGCAGCATGATTCACATTCAGAATGTAGAATAAGGCAGTATGACAGGGAAATTCGTATAATGACTTACCCTCTCAAAGCCAAGGCTTTGAGGCACAGTAGCAAAAACTAACCTGAGCATGTGGGCAGCATTGAAGACAACATCAAACTCCGTGCTGTCTAGTTCAGCTGCTTTTTTTGCCATCTCAGCTGCTTCTATGAGACGAGCTTCTTCCAGAAGAAACTGACCTGCAAGATACAAAAACCAGTGAGCTTCAACTCAGAAAATCCCATGAAACAATAATGCTGTTATTAAAAAAAAATAAGTAAAAATAAGTACAGTGATAAAGGTGATCTGAAGCTAAGATAATACCTATTATTTAAAGATTATTTATCTGCCTTTCACTTAATTGTGGGACATTTCAAGGTTTCTATTTGCTAACTTAAACATTTTTTCTTAAAAAGAAATTTATATTCAGCAAGATATAAGATGAATAAATTTAAAGCTATATTATAAATGAGTTAAGTTTATTTCAACTGTTAGTACTTTATGTATGTATGTATTTATTTATTTATTTTTTGAGATGGAGTTTCACTCTTGTTGCCCAGGCTAGAGTGCAATGGTGTGATCTCAGCTCACCATAACCTTTGCCTCTGGGGTTCAAGCAATTCTCAAGCCTCAGTCTCCCAAGTAGCTGGGATAACAGGCATGTGCCATCACACCTGACTAATTTTTGTATTTTTAGTAGAGACAAGCTTTTTCCATGTTGGTCAGGCTGGTCCTGAACTCCCGACCTCAGGTGATCTGCCCGCCTCGACCTCCCAAACTGCTGGGATTACAGGCTTGAGCTACTCTGCCTGGCCGGTACTTAACAGCTCCTATCTCTGATGCATATGTACATACAAACAGGTATATTCATGTTGACAAATACTCATTTCTTACATTTAAGTAATATTAAATTACTGGTAAACATAGGAAGGTAGGTTAAGCATTAATTTACTCAGATTTAATAATACTTATGGAATAAATTTTAACAAGTTCATATTTGAGAGATTACTTTAAAAATCAGCTTTGCAAGGTTAGAATTACTGAAGACAGAGTCACAGAACTCTTTCAACTGCACCTCAAGAATTACTATATAGGTCAGGCGTGGTGGCTCACGCCTGTAATCCCAGCACTTTGGGAGGCTGAGGCGGGTGGATCACGAGGTCAAGAGATCGAGACCATCCTGGTCAACATGGTGAAACCCCATCTCTACTAAAAATACAAAAAATTAGCTGGGCATGGGGGCGCGTGCCTGTAATCCCAGCTACTCAGGAGGCTGAGGCAGGAGAATTGCCTGAACCCAGGAGGCAGAGGTTGCAGTGAGCCGAGATCGCCCCATTGCACTCCAGCCTGGGTAACAAGAGTGAAACTCTGTCTCAAAAAAAAAAAAAAAAAAAAAAAAGAATTAATATATAATGTCATCCCAGAAACATATTGTGAAGGTAAAGAAACCAAAGTTAGGCCCAATTTAACGCCATAAATATACAAACAGAGACAACAGGCCACTTTTAAAATAAAGATTTATTAACAGAAATAGTGCTAATGTTAAGCCTTATCTGATATGGATATTCAAATAAAAACCAAATTTAAGGATGACAAACATAAGGTGAAGCCATCCATGTAACTGCCAGGCTTATCAAGTTGTAGGCTAATTATTATCTCTTCCTGTTTGAGGTTTCATGTTTGAAGTTCAAGAATTTAAAAGTACTAAAAATAGTTATAAAAATGATTAGTAAGTTCTGAGCTGCACACAGAAACATAAAACTTTAAAAATGTCAAGAAGAAATATACACAACCAACAAGCATGTGAACAAATGGTCAACATCCCTAATCATTAGAGAAATGCAAATCAAAACCACAATGAGATATCATTTCACACCAGTCAGAATGGCTGTGATTAAAAAGTCAAAATATAACAGACGCTGGCAAGGTTGCAGAGAAAAGGGAAGGCTTATACACTACTGGTGGGAATGTAAATTAGTTCAGCCTCTGTGGAAAGCAGTGTGCTGATTTCTCAAAGAACTTAAAACAGAATTACCATTCTACCCAGCAATTCCATTATTGTGTATATACCCAAGGAACAGAAATCATTCTACCATAGACACATGCATGCATATGTTCATTGTAACAGTATTCACAATAGTAAGACATAGAATCAACCTGAATGCTCATCAACGATAGTCTGGATAAAGAAAATGTGGTACACATACACAATGGAACACTATGCAGTCGTAAAAAAGAATGAGATCATGTCTTTTCCAGTAAGCTGGGTGGAGCTGGAGGCCATAATCCAAAGCAAACTAACAAAGAAACAGAAAATAAATACCACCATGTTCTCGCTTCCTTTTTTTTTTTTTTTTTTTTTTTTTTGAGACCAAGTTTTGCTGTTGTTACCCAGGCTGGAGTGCAATGGCGCGATCTCGGCTCACCGCAACCTCCCCCTCCTGGTTCAGGCAATTCTCCTGCCTCAGCCTCCTGAGTAGCTGGGATTACAGGCACGCACCACCATGCCCAGCTAATTTTTTGTATTTTTAGTAGAGACGAGGTTTCACCACGCTGACCAGGATGGTCTCGATCTCTTAACCTAGTGATCCATCCACCTCGGCCTCCCAAAGTGCTGGGATTACAGGCGTGAGCCACGGCGCCCAGCCTGTTCTCACTTCTATGTGGAAGCTAAACAGTGAGTACACCTGGACACAAAGAAGGGAGCAATGGACACAAGGAGCTACCTGAGGGTGGAGGGTGGGAGTGGGAAGAAAACAACACTGCCCCTTGGGTACTATTACTTAACACTAGAGTGATAAAATAACCTGTCTACCAAGACCTTGTGACACACAATTCACCTACATAGCAAACCTGCACATGTACCTGACACGTATATCATGCATGTGTAACCTGTACACAAACCTACAATAAAAGGGAAAAATAAAAACAAAAAAATACATAAATGCTAAATGCTCTCTGGAGGCTAAAGAGTCCATTATTTACTGTTTATTTAATGAATATTACAAATTGTCTTCTAATTCAAAAGACCAGTTCTTAAATAAAAGAGAAAAAACCTCTATTCTAAGGATTTGTTATAAACCATAGCCAGCCGGGGGTGGTGGCTCACGCCTGTAATCCCAGCACTTTGCAAGGTTGAGGTGGGTGGATCACCTGAGGTCTGGAGTTCGAGACCAGCCTGGCCAACATGGTGAAACACAGTTTCTACTAAAAATACAAAAATTAGCTGGGTACAGTGGTAGGCGCCTGTATTCCCAGGTAGCAGGTAGGCTGAGGCAGGAGAATTGCTTGAACCCGGGAGGCGGTGGTTACGGTGAGCTGAGATTACACCTCTGCACTCCAGTCTGGGCAACAGTGTGAGACTCTGTTACAAACAAACAAACCATAGCCACTGCTTGCATTTAAGTATTTCTTTCTTTTTTTTTTTTTTCTTAATTCTAAATTTATTTATTTATTTTCTTTTTATTATTATTATTTTTTAAGTATTTCTAACATCAATTAGTACAGAATGATGAGTAAAGATAAGCCTAAGATTATAAAGCCTTTTTGATTTTTTCCAAAGAAAGTGACAAAATTTTAAGATTAGGACTTGGAGGTCACTTAGCTACTTCTGCAAAAAGTTTCACATCACTGCATTAGTTTGTCACCTAACATTCTGTGCCTTTATCTCCCAGAACAAATAAACATTAATTCTTGGGTTAGAAAATTAAGGAAACAGAATTATACATTCCTGTATAAGCTAACGCTACAGATACAGATATGAAATAAAATTTAAGTAATAGTGCTTTTTTTACATAACAGTAAAATAAGAATCAGATAATCTGTGGCATACTGAAATATTATTATCTCCTCATATATAGCTTCATAAAGGTTTCCAGGCTAACTCCATCCTTCAGTTAGTTATAGTTATTAGAGACTGCTTTTTTTTTTTTAATTTTTTTTTATTGCATTTTAGGTTTTGGGGTACATGTGAAGAACATGCAAGATTGTTGCATAGGTACACACATGGCAGTGTGGTTTGCTGCCTTCCGTCCCCTCACCTGTATCTGTCATTTCTCCTCATGCTATCTCTTCCCACCTCCCCACCCCCCCGCCCCTCCCCCATTTCCCCCCAACGGACCCCAGTGTATAGTGCTCCCCTCTCTGTGTCCATGTGTTCTCATTGTTCAACACCCGCCTATGAGTGAGAATATACGGTGTTTGATTTTCTGCTCTTGTGTCAGTTTGCTGAGAATGATGGTTTCCAGGTTCATCCATGTCCCTACAAAGGACGTGAACTCATCGTTTTTGAATGACAAGGGGCTAATTTACAAAGAACTAAAGCAGATCTACAAGAAAAAAACAAACAAGCCCATTCAAAAATGGGCGAAGGATATGAACAGATACTTTACAAAAGAAGACATACAGGAGGCCAACAAACATATGAAAAAATGCTCATCATCACTGGTCATCAGAGAAATGCAAATCAAAACCACATTGAGATACCATCTCACACCAGTTAGAATGGCGATCATTAAAAAATCTGGAAACAACAGATACTGGAGAGGATGTGGAGAAATAGGAACACTTTTACACTGTTGGTGGGAATGTGTAAATTAATTCAACCATTGTGGAAGACAGTGTGGCGATTCCTCAAGGACCTAAAAATAGAAATCCCATTTGACCCAGCAATCCCATTACTGGGTATATATCCAAAGGATTATAAATCATTCTACTACAAGGACACGTGCACACGAATGTTCATTGCAGCACTGTTTACAATAGCAAAGACCTGGAACCAACCCAAATGCCCAACGATGATAGACTGGATAGGGAAAATGTGGTACATACACACCATGGAATATTAGAGACTGCTTTTTAAATTAAAATACAATATTAATTACTACTTGTATCCAAAACGTAATATTTAACTAAGCAACAGCATTAAGAAATACATTATTTATGTAGTACTGAAACAAAGGATAATACAGGAAATTATTAATTGTTCTTTTCCTTTGCAGGCAGCTATTAACACTGAAATGTAATCTATATTAATAGTTAGAAAAATGTAACAATTAATTGAATAATGAAGGTTTTTTTCTTGAAATCATTACTCTAGACTGTAGAGAGAAAAGAAGATTAGCTCTGGTTAAAAAGAAAGAGAAAAAGAACACAGTGTCTACTTTGTACATATGGAAACAGTGAAGGACATTGATGAGTC